TTTATGGACCCACCGTTTGGGTGAATCAAAGCTGCATGCTGTTGGTTAAATACCAGTGCCAGAGCTCTCCAACCCTATTCCTTCATTGCCACCCCTCCTTCTTCCTCTCCTTACAAGAGGGTGAAGTCCAGAGTCACCAAATGAGGCCAGAGGGAACAACCATCCACATTCCCACTTTCTTCAGGCTTAGATGTAGGATTGCTCAAGTTATAACATACTCAAAATTTTTTACACAAGGAAGGACACATTTCTCTTATTTCCACAAAGGCAAATGGATTTGCAGTTAACCCTGTTTGAATCAAATTTAGAATCTGAGTTTGTAGGATACATGAAGATCAAACTCTGCATTAGGATATCCCGGTGTATAAGCTATTTGTTTTTATATTGGACCCTTTAGTAAGTTGCCTTTACCTTTACTAGCTTATTATTTGGTTCCCTTAGGCAACAATTTGTTAACTCCTACTCCCAATGTCCTAAAATGATATAATGTAGGAGTTCAAAAATTGTCACTCACTTTTAGCCATAATAATGTACTGGAGGGAATGGTCTAGTTAACTAAATGAAGAAAGAGCAAAAAGAGAACATTAGGCTTGGTAGACCAGCAGTAACTTATTCAAACTATTCCGTCTCTTTCAACTTGCATGTTTGCACATCTATTTCATAACCTTATTCCTCACTCAAAATTTCTTAATGCCTAATAACTGGATACATTAACTGGGCAAGCCCTGTATATGAAGTATAAATCATTTTAAAACTCTATACTATGCCTAGGTTATAACACTTTGAGAAATCCTTTTCTTCCCAATTGTTTCTCCATTTAACAAATGGTATTTTATGTGGGGCTATTAGTAAAAGAGAAATAAACTGTTGTTTTTGTTTAATCAAAATTTTATATCACCATGACAAAGTCCTTCTCTGAAACATTAACTAAGATACAGCATAGCTCTTGGGAAATTGCATTTTCCAGTTACTGCTGCTGAAGAAACAATTAGAAGCTCAATAAAACACAAGCTATCTAGAAGTCTCATTTATAATTAATTAATTTAACCAATAAGCCATTTGTTAAGCTCCTACAACATTCAAGCTGAAAATCCAGGCATTGTGCTCGGTGTGGAAAGATAAAAGGATTTAATCGCTGTGTGCAGAGTTTACAGCCTGTTAGGAAGAATTTGAGGTCAGTTAATGGGACTAATAATTGGTCCTAGGTAAAAGGAAAAACTGATGAGAGGAGAACTGATCCTAAGACTGCCAAAAGAAAAACTGAAGATAACAGTGTAAATCATCCCATAAAGTAATCTTGGGCTCAAACAGTGGGGCACACCATCAAAGTCAGTTCAAGGATCAAACATGCAGTGTTAATAGCCTGCTCGAATCCTATTCCAACAGGCAATCTTCCCTTCTCCCAGGTAATATTAATGAGATTGTTAAGCATCTGAAGAAAGACTATGTTCTGTAAAGATATATATATATATATGTGTGTTATATGGATTTATAAGATATACATATACACATAATACATAACAGGTATGATAAATATATATATGTGTATGCATGTATATACATAATGTATGTATGAGATGGCAACCTTGTGGATATACTAAAGCCCAGATTCAACTGAAGATCTCAATTCACGTACCTACTGAGAGGGACTTGCAAGTCCTATTAATTGTCAAGAATAAATAGCTCCAAGAATCACAGAAAAGGGAACTAAGTTGTCTTGAGAGTCACAGCAATATGGTGTAAATATTAAGAGGATGGGTCTGGAACCCCATCTTTGCTCAAATTCCACCTCTATCACTTACTAGATGCTGACCAAGTTACTTAACCTTTCTAAATCTCTGGGTCCCTATCTGTAAAATGAGGATAATAATAGTATCTTCCTCACTGAAAGTGTTGTGAGGATTAAATGAGATGACGTATTTAAAAGGCTTGCACAGTATATGGTTCACAATAAGTCCCCAATATATTTTAGCATTTATTATTATCGTTAGTATATGCCAAATGTTGTACCAGATGCTTCTGCATGTAGGTTAAATGTCCAATAACACCACCATACATCAGGTAGTCTTATTCCCAATTCTAAAAATGAGAAAACAGAGGTACAGAGGAGTTAAGTAACTTTTCCAATGTCACATCATTAGTAAGTGGCATGTCCAGGCAGTGTTAGAGATCAAGCTCTCAAATACCTGATCATACGTCTCCTATCAACCCTTTGTCATATAGGTTACAACTATTTCCTTCC